GAAAGACTCCGATATGGATACTCCTGTCACAGGACCTCTCACCAGCTTTTAAAACGGCAACAGTCAAACTGTCTCTGGCAGGAAAAGGTAATTATGATAACAACTCTTTCTAAGATGGAAGGACATAACCTAAATAAGATTTCTCTTGACACCAGTCTTACAAAGGGTGGTTAGCCTCAAACTATCTACACATGCTTGTGGCGTGTGCATTTGTATAAATGGCAAAATGTGCATCAGCTCTGAGAAAATTGTGGCAGCGTGCTTTTGAACTAAAACACATCGAAGGTTTAAAAGTACGCCGCCGCCATTTATACAAATGCATGTGATGCTGTGCTGGGCACGTTAGCATGCCTGTGAAGCAGATTTGATTAATGGAGTCTGCTCTGAAGCGCTGGATCTCTGGTGTGTTGGAGCAGATGAATGTATGTGTATAAATATGCCACATTTTAAAGAAACTGATCTGCTCTAGCCAGTTCCCTGGATTTTGGGACCTCTTTGTCCCAAGTGTTCTTTGCCTGTCTCTTGCACACCTCCCACTTGCCCCTCCTGCTTCCTCACCTATTGTATTCTAACCACTCCATACTCTGCGTTGCCCCCTCATGGCCTGATAGACCAAACTTAGGTTCACATATATGTGTTCATGTATGTGTACGTGTGCATGCACATACATATGTACATATAAGTATGTACATGGGCGACTGGTGCCACCTTAGTCAGGCGGGGCACGTGTCCCCCCCCAGCAACAGGGGGTGTGTTCCCCCTTGGCTGATCTTGCTGACCTGGGGGGGTCCCCTGCAGCCAATCGTGAAACGGCCGATCACTGTGACCACTTCTGGAAGTGGCTGTGGCCATTTCTGGGAGCACCATGGTGCTCCACTCCCTAGCCAGTGCTTGGTGGTGGGGGGGGGGGCACCAGTGCTCCCACCTTCCCCCCTGCCCATTGCCTAAGTGCACCTGCTATGCATTGCCACTGCGTGTGAGTATCTATATCTGTGCATGTATATATGTGCATGTAGAAGCATGCGTGCACACATACGTGTTCATTTGTAGGTATATATAGGTGCGTGCTTGTGTATATGTGTACATATGTATGCGTGTATCTATACGTGTGGATATGTACATGTGCACATGCATATGCGCATGCAAGTACATATACCCTAGGGACGGCTCTGTCTATACATGTGTATGTGTACATTTGTACCTGTATGTGCATGTACATACGTATCTGTACATGTGGATATGTATATGCATATGTCCACGTGCACATGCATGTACATTTGTACATGTACGCACGGCTACATATGTATGTAAGTGTCGATACAGACATATTTATATCGATACACACACCCCTGCTTCCCCGCACGCCTGGCCGAAGCGAGGCAAAGCAGAAGCCCACTGCGCCCGCAATGCCTCGCCAGGTACCACAACCGGGTCAAAGGGCACCCGGAATCCCGTGGGCTGGGCTGCGCGGAGGGTGTCCGGCTGACTTCCGCTTGGCCTTTGACCCGGTAGTAAAGTCCGCGCAGGCGCCGGCGCCATGCAGGTCTCCAGTCTCAACGAGGTGAAGATCTACAGCCTGAGCGCGGGTCGCAGCCTGCCCGAGGTGAGCGCCGGGGGGCGGGGGGTGCTTCGGAGCCCGGGGGCAGTTCTCGGCCGCTCTCGGCGGGGGCGGGGCGGGTATTGCCACTGCGGGCCCGAGCGTGAGCGCCCCTGTGCCCGGCACTGCTGCTGGACCCCGGGGTGGTGCCCGACGGCAGCGGCTCCCAACTTTGTTTATACCAGGACCCATCTGTGAATACCAGTGCTGCTTCTCCCTCCCTGCCGCCCCCAGCCTCCCAGTGTGGATGGCCTGGAGGCCCCTTGCAGACCGGAGCTCTTAGCAGCAAGATCAGAAGGGGTGGAAAGCTGTTTTGTGGAATTATAACTGTTTTAGTTTGTATCGAGGTGGGTGGGGGGAAGTAGAGCCCCTCTCCTTACAAGCATGGGGATTCCAAATGTAAATTATTAAAATAATAGTTGTTTTCCAAATATTTAAGTTGGTCTAATAAAAGATATAAGCTTCACACACAGAACCGCGTCTGCCTAAAATAATAGATGCATTTAAACTCTTAAGTACAGCATACTCAAGTTTTCAGTGATGTTTTCAAAATTATTAAGCATAACATTGCTAAGATTACTAAATTAAATAGTATGTATTCATGCGAATGTTTGATGCGTTTCTGTGAGACAATGAATACAGAAATATTAATATGACTGCCACTTCCTCACTTGGTTAGGCTTATCAAATTTACCAGTAAAACAAACTCTCCCTCTGTCTTCCTTTAAATATTGACAGCTACAGTTTTTCTTTTATAGTGGCTTTCTGATAGGAAGAAGAGAGCACTCCAAAAGAAAGATGTTGGTAAGTTGCCTTAAACACAACCCATTACTGCTGAACAGTATGTGCTGATGTAGACCAAAGAACTTTACAGGCTGATTTAAGAATTGATAGCTATTTGGCTCTTGTGTGCTCGTTGCTAGTCATTTCTGGGTTGCGAAGGCTTGTGTGCAAGTTGATCTAGATAAGGGGTCAAGAAAGAGTGTTTCCTTCTTTTCAGTACTGGGTAAATTATATGTTCTTGAATTTCTGTGAAGCTTTAGCTGCTGGTTGCTCTAGTCTAGAAGGTTTAATGGCAGATTTGGTCTATCACTTCTACGTGTACATTATGTTAAGGACTGTCCACATCAGAGAAAGTGATGGATATGATCCTCAGGGCAGTGTGACTGGATAGACTCTTAAGTACAGGGCAGGGCGACTGCATGTTCTCCCTGCAAAGTACCCAGAACAGGACATTCTGCCATTGGGTCTGGTATTCAGCTGGAGGTATAAAATGGCACACGTTCATTTAGCCTCCTCTTTTTCCCTCAGAAGCCATGATCTTTAAAAAATGCAGACAAAGCCTTCCACTCTCCCTTTTGCCCAGAGCAGAGTGCCTCTCTAGTCTGGGATTTATTTTTAACTTTGTGTAGTACTTGAATGCAATTGTGATAAGTGGCATATGGAACTTGTGAGAGGTAGGTGTGGGGTAGGTATTATGTGAATGTAGTAGAGATGATGGCATAAGTTATACAATTTCTCAGTTACGTAATCATAAAGAATCATACAGCATGTATTGCTTTGCATTGATGCTGTTCACTTCTGAATGCTAAACAATTCATTAATTTTCTTATGTTAACGACATGAGGGATGGCTTTTCTTATATTTGGTGTGTAATAACTTTCTATAAGTAAGTGCCCCATTTTTAAAGACAAATGTTTTCCTTAATTTTTTTAAAGATCTTCGAAGAAGAATTGAACTTATTCAGGACTTTGACATGCCTACAGTTAGCACAAAAATTAAAGTGTCAAGGGATGGACAGTATATCATGGCAGCTGGTAAGTAAATTAAATGTTTGCTTATAACAAAAGCTAAAAATGCTAGATGTCCTTGACATAGAGCAGGGGTAGGCAGTGTTTTTTTTGGCCCGAGTGCTGAAAAAAACCACAATGCCTACCTTGGAAGGTGCCGGAGTGCTGGCATGCCAGAAAAACAAAGCGAGGGCAGGTGGCACATGGCAGGATGCCCTGCTTGTGCCCCTGCCCCCCAGCCCAGGTTCTGTGGCTATCAGCAGCTACCCGAACCTGGGCCAGCTGCAAACAGCTGCTGTGTCCCTGGCCCTGGCCTCAGCTGCCTCCCAAACCCAGCTCTGGGCTCCAGGGAGGCAGCAGATACCGGCAATGCCCCCCACTGTGCTGCTGTCACTGTGGCATCTGCAGAGCATCATTGGAACCTGGCGCGGCAGGGAACAGCTGGGGCAGTGTGCTGTGCTCCTGGCCCCACTGCCCTCCCTTGGGCCTGCCAGAGCTCAGCGTGTGTGACCCGGAGTGGCAGCGCACAGAGGAGCTGCACAGGGAAGCTGCCTGCTGCTGCAAGCTGCGTGCTGCCCGGGTTACACTTCCCCTGTGTGCATGGCAGCAGCGTGGGTAGCACGCAGGGTTTTGCCCCTCGTTGCTGCCCCTGCCTGCAGGGAAAGTGTGGCCAGGGGAGCTTGGAGCGGCAGGCAGCTTTCTGCGCCCCCCCACTGTGCCCTGCCACGCTGGGTTCGAACACTGCTCTGCAGAAGCAGCGGCGAGGGCAGCACAGTGGGGAGCATCACCCATATCTGCTGCCTCCCCAGAGCCCGGGCCGGGTCTGGGGCTGGGAGGCAGCTGGGGCTGGGGCAGGGTGGCAGCAGCTGTTGGTTAGCTGGTCCAGGTTCTGGGTGGCTGCTGATAGCCATGGAGCCCAGGCTACTTCCAGCAGGGTTTGCAGCCTCCCAGCCACCTGCTGGGAGGCTGCAAAAAGCTGCTGCCTCCCCGCCCCTGGCCCCAGCCTGTGCTGAGGAAAATGGCCTCGTGTGCCAACCCCTGACAGAGGGTAGGACTTAGAAATGAATACAAATCTAAAATCATCTTTAAGTGACAGTGTCTTTCTGGGTTTTTGTAACTTATGTGATAAATAGAGCCTGTGTGTCAATACGTGAAGCACTTACTGTCGCACATGAAAATGTAGAAATTGAATTTGTGCAGATATAGATTCCCATATATATTTTTACACTGTGTGTGTGTGTGTAAATTTTCAATTAGATTTTAAATGCATTTAGGCATTGTAGTGGCCACTGAACCATTAATGATCAAAATTCTCATAAAAATGAGACATTTTTGTAGGTTTTTAGTTTTGCTGACAATTTGTATTTGTAAAGAGAATTTTTTGGGGGCTTGGCTAGTGTTTTTTATACTTAACAATTTAACATGTTTCACTTAAAATAGAAAATGTTAGTTTTTAGCAATAAACCAATATTTAACCAGGGATCCTGGCTTTCCATTTGCCATGGAAAAAATGCAGTAAAATATTGAATTTCTCATTTTAAGGAGAAAAACGGAGAATTTCTCATCTTAAAGAGAAGAACACAGGAAACTGCAGGCTTTGCCTTGCAGTCTAGCAGAGTTCCAGCCTGCAAGGGGCTGGGAGCAGTGGGAAGAGGGAGATTGGGCAGGGGATGCTATGTATATGGGGGTGTGGGACTCCTGGCGGTGGCACTGAGCCTCCCTGCTCCACTTTGCCATGCCACACCAGGTCCTGCCCACGGAGACCCCTGGCGGGGAGGGTGGCAGGGTGGGGAGCCCTGAGCTTGCAGTGGGCGGCACCTGGCATGGCATGGCATCCTCACCCCTTCCCCATGGGCTCTGCTCCAGCTGTGCTACCTATGAGGGAAGGGGAGCCAGGCTCCACACTGTGCTCCAGTGGCAGCTGGGGTGCAGGTGCTGCTGGGGGATGAGGGGGGTAGGGGGCCACAGACCTGGGTCCCTAGCTCTGTAGCCGTGGCAGCTGAGGGCCCCCTCCAGCAGGGCTGGAGGGTGCAGGGGCCTGTGCATGGGCAGTGAAGGTCACCGGCAGGACCCAAGGAGCTGTGGGTGAGGTTTGAGGGTCACCAACAGGGCCAGGAGGCTGTGGGTGGGGGGTGAGGGGCAATGGCATAGGCAGGGCATCAGCATATCAGGGCTGCTCAGCCCCACAAACCAGTGGTGGGGAACAGCTGCAGCTGGACCTGTGTCCTGGTCAGGGATGGGGGTAGGTGGAGCTCTGATTTTGCATGATTAAAAAAAAACCCAAAATCAAATGCCAACATTTATAAGTATTTAGAATTTATTTTATTTTAGTGATTGAAACACTGGTAAGTTTCCAGATTGCTTTAAAATTGTAAATATATCAATAAACACAATGTTCAACTAATACCCAAAACAAAACATCACTACATATAGGTTTTTAATCAAAGAATTTGAGATTTTTTTAGCAGAGAATTTGCAATTTTTAAACAGAAAACCAGGATCCCTGTTCATAACTGAAGGAAAAACTAAAGAAAAATAATCTTTCTTTCTCTATCTGTGGGTACTTCAGTCATTTGGCTGAAATGTTGCCCATACTGTTGTGTGTCTAGTTACAGTAATACTATCTAAATTTTCATAAATCCGATTTACTTTAAACGGATGGGCTGCCTACTCCTAATAATTTTTTATAGAGGTAACAAATAAGCAGTATAGATTTTAGCAGGAACAAGCATCTTGAATACTGTGTATCAGTGGTTCTCTAACTCTTGAATTTAGCAGTACCATCTGTAGAGGGAGCCCTCTCTTTTTTTTTTGCCCCGC